GTTTGAAAATCTCCGCTCCTATTTTATTTTGTTAAAGGAGAACAAATCGATATCATTCCTCGACGTTTTCGCAGAATTTTCTTGGCACTGAGAATAAAAATCACTCCTTCAGACGTCGAAAATTAAACTTGTGAAGATCAATTTTTGCTCACAACTGCGGAAAACGGCCGTCTGGTACGCTGTAATTTTCAAAATTTTCCTGGGGGAGGACACGTTTTCCCGCGTGGGGGGCGCCAAAGTCTAGGCTTGCACCTTCCTATATGAAACGTAGATCCGGACCTGTCCGCCCCCGCATTTTCGGGTCGTCAGTTAAGATCGAATTCCGTCCCATGCACATTCTTCTTACTTGGCGAATGACAATACGAGCAATTTGTAATCAGCAACGAATGGTGAATCCCGGTGCGCCTGGCTCGGGCTGGCCATGAGGCCAATTTGCCATTGGCCGATACGCCCCCTTGGCGGGCCGAAACGCGCCCCTCTGACAGATAGTAAAATTAGAAGAGAAAAAAATATAACGACCGAGAATATATGAGGAAAATTTCTTAAATGAACGGAAGAAGAGAGAGTTAGGAGTAAAGAAAGGTGCTTTCACGCATGATAGTGGTGAACAGAGGTCCAAGAACTACTCTCTGAAACGTAAAGACTTTTCTGATTAATTTTCACCTTTTTGTTGACATAAAGGCGCTTTATCATCCCCTCTTTCATTCGCTATGTGTAATTCCCTCAGAAGCGATAGTTGGTTCAATTTTTAGACATACGGACCTTATAGACCTCTTAAGAGGCCTTTAAACATATATCTTCCTTTTAAAGTGACTCTTGATTTGGACATATCATTGCATACCTCGGGCAAACTTAACCTTAACTTATACAGAAATTCAAAAATAAGAGACATCTAAAGTGTAAACGCGCGATACAACTATTCGCGCAGGATGGAACATTGCATATCGACGGTGAAACTACCAAACCACGTATCTCGTTTGCGGTGTTTAAAAATCTACGCTCGCATTTTATTTTTTTGAAGTAGACCAAATCAATATCATTCCTTGAAATTTTCACAGAATTTTCCCCGCACGAAGAGGAAAAATCACAGAAATTTTCGAGACTGGACGTTAAGTAGTTTTTCATTTAAAAAATAAAGTATGACAGGAAGTCTGCGACGTCGCAAACCGAGATACGTGATTTGGTAGTTTCACCGTCGATATGAAAAATGCAAGACGCGATGGCGCGAGTCGTGAACTCGCAATGTTCTGCGCTAATGCTACTGAAGCACCATCACGAATAGGGCAAACGCAAACAAACACAATATGGAAATAAAGCGAGGGAAAGGATGCGCGTTAACGACGGCGCAGAGATACAACTATTCGTACTTGATGGATGTCCGTGCTGCATCTGAAAAATTGAAGGCGCGATGACGCGATGCGTGAGCTCTCAATGCTCTGCTATAACATGCTGTCAATGCCTATTGTGGGGAGGGAGGACAGTGCTTTTACTATATTAAAATACCCTTTCTAGGGGTTGCCCTATATAATAAGGATATCAAAAACTCACACCTTTTTTTTAAAACAAAATAAAACACTAAATTTAGGCCTAAAGCGTCCAGCCCACTTACAAACTAGGGACTTCAAAGAGACTCATCGATTGCCCCGACTTAAACCGCTGGTCAATGAGAGGGCCAGGAAAGGCATCGATGAGCCTCTTTGAAGCCTCTAGTTTGTAAGTGGGCTGGACGCTTAAGTCGAGTGAGCTAAAATGCAATGGTACAAAAATACTACAGGATAATTCTAAGATGAAAGGTCGCTCAGATTCGGGAGAAAAGTTAAAAAAGAGGCCCGAATACGTCTTGTCTGTCTTCGGCTGTGTTGATACTCGTTCTTTCTTCTTTTTTCAGGTTCTTGTCTGATTCTTTTTTAGGATGGTTTTGCAGACCCACGTCTTATAAGCGGCTTTCCCACTTACAAACTGGGGCTCTCAAACTGGCACTAATTCTTCTATTTCTCAGCCATTTCTGCACGGTAGGGATGTCGATACTTAACCGATACTTCCAAAGTATCGATACTTTTGATCGATACTCATCGATACTTGGCATCGATACTCAACGATATCGATACCATGTGGTATCGATCCTCAGACCCCAGTATCGATGGTATCGATGCTTTATCTGATTTGGCCATGAAGAAGGCCTCTTTTTCTTCTTTGAAAACTTCTCTCCCCACTATTTCACCTTCATTATGCACTGTGACAAACGACGGAGTAATCAAGTTTCTCAAGATGATTACTTTCGTTAAAAACGTTAAAAGCGCAGTTCGATAACTGTAGTAAAGGGCTCAAAATAGTTGATTAAGGACGCGAATAGGGCTGTTTCGAGAGAGGCGTAAATCTGGCGGAATTTAACGGCCGACAGACATACGCGCACTCGGAACGGCATGATTCAGAAATAGTATCGATGATATCGATACTTCAAAAGTATCGATACTTCAGCTCGATGCTCGATACCGGTATCGATGCTTAGAGTCGATACCAGTATCGATACCGAGTATCGATACTTCCCCGAGTATCGACATCCCTACTGCACGGAATGCCTTGAAAATTTCAAGATCTGATCTGTGATGTATCCCGAACACATCGGTTACCCTCAAAGATCGTCGGCCCGACGATCTTTTTGAGGAGGCAACAGTCAACACCTGCACCGATGTGCCAGTTTGTGGGCTCTAGTTTGTAAGTGGGAAAGCCGCTTGTAGCTCGTGTAAACCGCAGTATTGGCTCGGTTCTTTTGGAAATAATGGTGCTTGGATGCGTTTGGTGGCTTTAATTTTTTATGTTTTATTTAATTTCAGAAGTCTGCCGGTTACCTCAATACGTTCAATTTTGCAATTTTCACTCTGTACGATTAATACACTTTGAACCTGAAAAAAGACTGAACTTGTGCTGCTTTGCCAAAATTTTCTGAGCCCCACACCACGTAGGGGATGCCCTGCCAGGAAATATCACATTATGCCCCTTTAACCAGCCATGGGTCTACGCCCTCAGACGCGAGCCAGTCCGACCCTGCGGTGCGCGCAGGTAAGTATAAAGCTCCGACAAAATGCCTGAAAGCCCAGTTTCTGAATTTTGACCACTTAAATTAAATCATACGCGTGTGTATATGAAAGTACCTATATTTAAGTGTAAGAGGACCCGTTTTCCTTGACCGAATTGTTATTCGCAACAGATGCAGCATGATGAGAAAAGGGGTTAACTCGATCTGCATTCACGAGGGAAAAAAATGTAGGAGCTTTTCGCAAGAATTTATTCTACTGAGTTTTTCAGCCGTGCTTTGGTTCCCTGTAGGTCTGGACCTTATTGGATTTCCTGTTTGACGTTGAACGCCTCAAAATCAGTTGAAATTCATGGTTTTGTCGAAAATCTTCGGCGATTTCTTCTCTTTAGTGATGGAATGCATGCAGAAAATTACTTAAACTGCAGTTTTGATGACAAACTTATCAGTCATTGCTGGAATAGGTAATATCAGATTAATAATCCTTATTGAACAGAGGATTTTCTTCTATATGCCACATTCTGCTGAAAATGAAATTAATTTCCATTATCTTCATTGGATTGACATAGAAACATGTACCTATATGTTTATGAGCTTGGGTCTCGTAGGAACACGGGAACCGAAAGGCCAAGTGGCAACCATGCATTCGACGTTTTGGTCATCGACAAGTTCCAGCCAATCAGGTCGTGGTTCTACCTATTCCAGCCCCTAAACTAGGCAGGCCAGGGGCTCACGGACGGCCCACGCAGCGATCGCAGGATCGCAGTGCGCGATTGCTGTTCACGGTGATAGGTGTCCTCACCCGTACCTTCTACGACTGCCTTCCTGCTGGTGACAACTGGAGATCTCAAGTGGAGCACTTATACTTTATTTGGTAAATATTTATCATAATTCATAGTGTGACCCAGTGTTCTTTAATAATTACGTGTCAGAAAGGCGTTACTGTATCAGAACGGATGATTAGGTCAAAGTTCTCGGCAGATTGTAAATTTTTAGCCAAACAAAGGATACCTAGCCCCTGCGCATGAGCATATATAATTATTCTAANACATTCCCCCATGGATCCTTGGCTTTTGACACGTACTGAGTCCTAGTTATGCGACGATTTCAGCGTCACGCGAGCCAGGGTAGCGACCGAATCATCCTCGCAGTGTGATGCGCCTTCAATCCGGCTAGTGGCAATATGCCTTAACCCTTGGTCGAATAGTTATCTCGTTACGCCTGCCGTGAATAAATTAAAATATCGACGGCTGCACTTGCGGATTACTTCGCAACTCACGCTTCAGTCGCATTTCCCTGCGCCGGACGCCCACGTTTTACACACGTCGCGTCGGGATTACGACGATGCACAGCGCTTCCGCTTAACGCCTTGTCTCCACGGTACGTTTCACGGTATTTTTCCCGAGTTGGAATCGCAGGAATGAAACTACTGAGCTTTTTTCCCGTTAAACAGCACAACAAAATTTCCTCTCCTTCTTAAGTCGTTCCAGGGACTCCACAATGACAATGACTCTTAGTTGGTACCGTGATTAGTATTGACGAACTTGCTCTAAGTTCCTTGTAAATGCGTAAAACGATAAAATCAATAAAGTTGGGAGGGTGAACTTTTATAGTAAACTTACTTTGGGTCGGTAACAAGGAAGGATCTCAGATAAAGTACTAATAGTTTTTCTGTTGCTCATGGTGGTCCCGCCGGTTCAAACAGACCGTTTCAGTCCTAGATGATGATTACTCCCGAATGAAATTAATCGGTCGGTGTCGGACCAAAAATAATCTGCAGTTTAAAAAATACTTACATGTCGGAAGTCAACTTAGAAAACTTAGTTTACGCAATTTTATTCCGTTGCCGCTCTTTATTTGAATTTCAAACTTCCCGATCCGATCCGCCAATCCTCTAGCCAATCAGAGAAGTGGCTTCATTTTTTCCGAACTAAATCCAAACTAAAACCAAAACATTAGCCCCTAACCTCGTTTGGAGTGCACGATTAATCCATATCAAACCAATAACAAAGTTGAGTAATTGTCGGTCTGCTCTTCGAGTTAATTATTGTGTATAGTCTTGTCACTGAAAAATCTTAAAGCAATCAATGATTTAACACTGTGTTACAAATACGACAAGGATTTCCGTTTTTTCAAAAAAGAGACATCGAACTGGCACATTAAACTGTGATGTTACTAGCCACTGAATCATCTCAACCATTACTAGTTTATACAAACAAACACTTCCAAATCCGACCGTCAAGGTTCCGTGTTCTGTATTAGCCTTACAGGTTTTCTCACCCTAAACATGTGCCCCTCTTCCGTGTTCGAAAGAAGCAAGTATGCCCAAGATCGGTGCCCCTTCACCTGCTGCCTTGTCTGGTTAAAACACTCATCGTCTTTCATCAAAATATTTACCTTCCAAATGAAGATGTATTGGCCAGTGCCAGTAGGCATACTCCTGCGAAGATATCCTCCGTAGCACTGATTATGAGAAGAGCAGCCTGTAAAAGCTAATGATGTAAAATGTTCTTTCATTTGAACAGTGTAAGACCCCTTATTCTGATGCATATTATATGTCATTTCAATTTCCTTGGTAAATGTATCTTTTGCCTTGAAACTTGCGTAGAAATGATCTAACTTTATTTGACCAGATCTCTTCTATGTAACTCTTGCGGGGTCTTCTTTTCCCTTAAGAAATGCATTTTTGTGGTGCGAATCCAAAACATTGTCCTTGTAGAATTAGATCGTGTCAAGATGAGTTGACGTTAATTTTAGTGAAGATAAATTAGTTAATGGGATGTTATCTTTTTAAGGAATGAGAGATGACTTGGTGATTAGTTGTGAACAACTAAACATCAATGGTGTCAAGAAAATGGTAGTTAAGGTGATGGTTCGGTTGCAGGAAAGTAATTGGGGTGATGGAGGTTATATGACAGTAGGGAAGGTGGACCTGAATTGAATGGGATCCTTCCTTTAGGGTTACTTGAAGTTACCAAAAAAAAGAAAAGAACAAAATTGAAGACTCACTGAAGCATGCAAATGTTGACCTCTGTCAATCTCTCCTCATTTTCAGCTTATAGGTATACACTGAGTGCAGAATCTTCCGCATTTTCAAGCACCTGCCTGCCGGCTTTCCACATGTTTCTCATCGGTTTTCCACAAACTTTCCCACCAATCTGAACAAAAATGACCTTTTTCTTCTGTTTTTAATTGACTTTCGCCTTCTGAGCCTTCAAAATGTTCCCTCCTTCCACATTCTCACGCACCGTGATCGGGCACTTTCTGCACCCCTGCCTCTACGTTTTATTCAACATGTCGTGAGAAAGCTGGTTGGAAACTGGCCTCTGCTTGTGGGAATGGGCAAACTCTATATCATTAAATTTTACGTTTTTCCTGGAAATTGACTACATGTTTAGTTGTGGCGATACATGGAGCACCTAGGCGTGGCAACTTGGAATTGATGGGAGTGGATGTAGTAGAGAGTAAAATGCCATTAGCTTACAAAGGTGCATGACTGTTTTCTTAAATAATTTGGGGTTTTCACTTGTAGAATTGTTCAAAGAATCCTGTAGGCAAGCATTTTTCAGACACTCACCCTACCCCGGTTTCTTAAATATATATGACTTCGGCTGTGATGAGTCGCCACCAAAGTGGAGGTGAATCTACAGCCATTCGCCCAACTTTCCCCAAAAAAGTCTTTATACAGGGTGGCCTTTCTTGTAACTAAAATTTATGAAATTTCTGTGGAAATATTCTGGGATCTTTAAGAAATGTATAATTAAGAATTTGATGCCAAAGATGAAGGTTTCTTTAATGTAAGTGAGGGTTGCATACCTAGCACCTGGAAAATTGGTCCAAAAAATGCTGTATATTTCATACGTATTAAACAACCTGAAATTTCCCTGAAAAATTTTTCAGGGAAATTTCTTTTGTTTCATGCTACCCTGCCCTCATACCTAAGAGTATTATAAGCCCATGAATGAGGGCATAAACCAATCCAGCTGACGATCAAATGGACTACATTTTTCTATTCGGATCTATAATTTCTGGCTCGTTTGTAAAAACATTTATGTGTATAGGGAAACTAATTGTGCATCTGCTATTTCAAGACAGAGCCAGAAATTATAGTTCCTAATTGAAAAGTGTAATGCAAATATAATATCGAAATGTCATGTAATGATAATATTATCAATAACCTAAGAAATCAAAATTTATCTCTCAATATGTCTATGTATGTATATATTTTTGTGTCTAGCTGTAATCTTACTCTTTCTCTGTTTATGTGTCCCAGTTCTGATGATTGCAGCCTGTTACCGTACAACCTTATGAATCTTGTTAGCTTGTGATTGCATGACTCTGAACTGCAACTTGCATTGAAACTCCTACAAGCATCAATGGATTCCCAAGTAAGATTTTTTCCTTTCCATAGGCACTTAGCGCATAGGAAAAATGGCAGTTTTGCGGCTCTAAATCTCCAAAATTGTTTGCACAGTTATCCCACAGCTTTTCCTAAAATCTTATCTAATTTTTTATTAATCTTTTATATCAGCCTGAGTTGAAGGGCCTTAGCCTCTGCACAAACAGAGGCTAAATTGCTGGAGGCTCTCTTCACCCAGGAAGTCTGAGCATGGGGGAACTAGGAATTTTTTGTGGGGGGGGGGCACAGAAGGATATATGATTTGGGCTAAGGGGGGTCTGGGGGATTCCCCCAGCCGCAAAGGGGGTTTGTGGGGCCTCCCCAGGAAAATTTTTGAAAATTAGAACGTCTTGGGAGCAATTTAAAGCCATTCTCAATGCCAAATTAAATGGAATTAAATATTACAGATGACAGAAATTTTGCTGACTTGTTTTTAAGAATATGATATCTTATTGTGGGTTTTAATTGAATATATTTTAATTGAACTCTCATGAAAACAAGTATTGCGCTAAAATGCGCCAAAAACCACAACCGAATACAGTCAAACTGCATTCCATGTTCCTGACTCGGAGGGAGCTGCTCTCTTTGCGAGTAATTTTAATTTTTCTGACATCTTTGATCGATTAAATTAGGATTAAGCCCGTATTTATTACATTCCATGTGCCTTTTACCTCCAAGTTAATTAGTAGCTTGGATCCTTGACATATTTGGAAGGGGCCGAGCAGCATTGTGGGGGGGGGGGGCCCACGCCCCCCCTATTTCCGCCCATGAGTCTGAGAAGTTACCACTGGTTCTGCCTCACATGTAAAGCGGAGGTGCAAGTTATGTTGAATGATTTGAATGTGGCACACTAATGTTATTTCAGGCTCTATTCTTCAGGGAGCTCTGACATTTTTGCTTGCTTTCCCTCTGTCCTCCTTATTCTTAAGATTGATATGCTCTGCTTCAATTTTCTCTGCATTTCACCTAATTTTTTCAGAGAGAACTGCCCCTTAGGCAAAAAGTTGGGGTTGTTTACAATTGTATGAATTTGACATTTTCCCCCCTATGCTTTCAGATGGAGCAGCAACTCCGGCAAATGCAGGAGGACATCCAAGTCTTCCTTGGTAGACTCCAAGGAAGCCAGTCTCCTTCCAATCTCCCTTCAGCCAACACACCCAGATCCACACCGACATCTTCACAGAGTTGTTCTCGGCCTGTCTTGCCTACAAGGACACCAACAGCTTCACAGTCAGTCGCTGAGTCACCCTCAATTTTCACACCCAGATCCACGTTATCAGCTTTACCGACAATTTCTCAGCCTGTCACGAATCTTCAGCCTCAGCCCACAAGAGCACCAACATCGTCACCGTCAGTTGCTGAGCCTAGAGTAAGTGATGAAGCAGACTTTCTTTGTATCCATTCGTTTCGGATCAGTAGTTAATGAGAAAGGATATGGCTGCAAAGCTAAAGAAGTAAATGTCATGAATGAAAGTTTCAGGTTCGGCAAAGTAACATTCAATTCTACCAAATCAGAAGCAAACATACACTCTGGAAATTTTTTCAAGTGGTTTTCCTAACTTTTCAAAAGGTTATATTAGTGCATTGGTTCATCGATAAGTTGGCACTAGCAATATGATCAGTGATTCTGCATTAGCTTCCGTTGAATAATTTTTATATACCTAGTTAAGAAGGAGAGTCAACATTACGGCTTGCTCCAACTTATTTCCTGTGAGCATATCTAACATGCCACATTTTTTATCAATTATTTAAAGCCATACATTTTAGTGAGGTCCGTAACAGAAATGAATTTTTTTCCATTTGCTGTTGATCCATTTATCTTTGCTCCTGAGATGTGAGAGTGTATCTCAATTTTCACTTAAGCTCTGTTCGCCATATAACTCCATGCTTGCCAGTCGGCCGATTTTTGAAAGTTTAAAGCACCCCAATAAGACATCAAATTGTGATATATTGCATGGTTAAGACAGAGATATGTTTTGCTGTGTCGGGCTGACATAGTTTCAATAATCAGGCCTCTGAGCAACAATGATGTATGTACATGTTGTTTTAAAGTACTCCATGGTGCCCTATGACACCTAACCGACACTGTCCCACACACATTGATTGTTCATTGAAAATCGACTTCCAAGTCTGATCCTTTTTCTTAAAAAGCAGTTATCAAATTTTTTTCTAACCCAGTAATTATATTGAATTTTTTTATCTTTAAAAAGATGTTGGTGATAAGTGACAAAAAACTGATATCATGTGGTAAATATCTTCAATACTAAGATAGTCCATGCCCTTGTTTCATTTTTAACAACTCCTTTGGCCATGATCATCTGAAGCCTGATTATCATGGATGACACATATTCAACCCAGAGTTATGGTAGTGTTAGTGTGTAGAATATGGTTGGCTGTTTGTCCCCACAAGGAAAGTTCCTATGAAGTATACTTATTACACGATGAGGGATTTTTTCATGTGAACTTTTTTTGTGTATGTGAAGGATTTTTCCATGTGAGGTAGTATTTATGACTATGAGTCGGCATGTGTCTGTGTGTTTTTCTCATGGGTATTTCAATCCTCCTTAAACTTTTTCTCACATTCCTGTTTGTGTTGCCAATGTAACGAAATTTTAGAAGAAAAAGCAGTGCGTGCTCTGTGACGAATATCTGAATTGTTGATCTATAATACTCTGATCGAACTGAGGACGGTCAAAATTTGTGAAGGAGTATGTGTTGTGTAACCGATTGGCCAGACATGTTCCTGAAATGCAATATAATAGGGGTCTATTTCTAAACGCCAATTTCCACCCCTTTCACGGCTGCCAATTCAATTTTTGGTATAAATATTTTGGAAGTGAAAGGAAACAGAAAATTAATAAGTATGTAGAATTATGAAGAAATAAATTTATAAAGTAACATAAACAATTTAATTTCAATGTCGTTGGGTATCTGGTCATGACCCAAGTCAAGGAAATAGATTTATGACGAAAAATGACACTTTTAACTATTATAGGGATACCAAACTAATGTAGATGTGTCAGCTTCAATCATCAGATATATCTTTCAGAACTGTGTCAACAATTTTTCTTTGAGTTGCTGCATGCAATAATACAGAAATGAATTCATCCACAGTAGTAGGCCCAGTTTTAACGTCAAAGTTTTATGTGGGTTCTGGCGAAAAAGAATGAAATAATGCCAACCATCCCTATCAAAATTTCATTCTCATTCTGATTATTTTATCCGTATATTTTCAGGAAGAACTTTGGCGCTTGCAACTGGAAAATGAGCGTTTACGGGCTCAACTGAACCGCCTCCCACCTTCGACCTCAAATAGAATTTCACTTCCATCACAGTCTTTGCCCTCTTCACCTAGTATCCAACAGAATGTAAGTGTGACTGCATTGTTCTCAAGATGTCTTAGCGCCATGTTACAAATATTTGAAGCAACTACTTTTTCTGTAAGTGTTCCTCAGTGAAGAGGCACACAATGAGAATTAATCGGTTTTGCACTTTAGGTACAGCGGAATGAATAGTCCTCTTTAAGATAAAATCCTGCAGAAGAAGATAAAGCACATTAAGGAAGTCTAAAATCCATTCCCCAACACACAATTGAGGGTCTGGGTGGAACAAAGGCACTTCCAGGGGAGCACTCTTTCTCTTTGAAATTCTCCAAAGCATATCTTGCAGAAAATCCATGCAGAATTTGAGACCGATCAGATAGTTGTACGAGACAAAATAATTTTCCCTTTGATGGTATCTCCATCTGTTTACAAATACGCTCAAGCTTATGGATTTCTTATGACTTAAGGAAGCTTGATTTAATTTTTATAGTGAATTTACTTCTGGGTTGGACGAGGTTAGACAGCTGGTATGTGGCACAGCATTTGTTCATTGTCAATGCCTCGCATACACTACACTCCGCTCAAACTTTTTGTACTATCTTGAAAGTTCCTACATTTTGAGGTTATGAGATTTATGACATGAATAAAGTATAAATATCCTTAAAACTGTGAAAAAATATGCAATACATAATGTGCTGTTAGTTTCAAAGGAAGTCATGGGAAGAAAATAAATAAAAAAATGAATAAACGAACTGACAGAAATTAAAACTCGCCAAAAATTGCCTGTTCAAAGCCTATTATACAAATATTTCTATCAAAGAAGTTGTAGAAAGTCATTGCCCACAAAAAGGGCACATAATCCTGTTTTTAGAATTTTTTTGGTTGTCCAAATTGATCAAAAATCCATTGTTTTGCATGAATCAACCTCAAGGTTCTATAATAGAGGAAGAAACCGCACGATTTGACCGTTGCTCAGTGTGTATTAAGAGTAAACTCAAAAACTTTCAAATGATAATAGGTCAAAGCATCTTCTTTCCTGCAGGAAGTTGCCCTTATTCAACCCAGATCCTCGATTTGCAACTCTGAAACATGCCATTTTGATTCCTGCATCCGCTTGTGTTTTATTCTTGATTGTCGTCAACCAGAATTGTGAAGAGTGAGATGTGAGAAAACCAAACTCGAATGAATAGACAATTTTGCATGCCTTTATTATTCGTTCTCTCTGTGATTTTAATTTGATGAGACGAAAGTGTGCAGTGAAAATAGCGAAAACGAATTGTCTAAAAGGATTGAAATTTTCCATGAGAAATATTGATACCAGCTTGCAAGATGGATTGTTTATTTATGTTAGTTATTCTTTCAATTCCCTCTCGGCAAGTTTGGTTCTTAACAACCCTGGAAATTAGCGACTGTGGATGGGGGAAAGTTGAAAACTTGTGGTTCAGAATAGGCCATTTGTGCGTTAAGGAGAGGATGTTAGAGCCTCTTGATATGCACGACATGTTGTCCATGTGATTTTTTCTTTGAAATGAAAGTGCATTTGATTGTATCTGCAGTGCGCATCAGGCATATTGTCAGTTTTAGAAGAATGCATGTGAAAATTTGACAGGGTGACGTTTTTGCAAGTAACATATCTATTGCCCGGCATTAAAATTCGTGGTATTAAATGTTTTTCAAGGAAAGTGTGCAAAAAGATAAAAAAGAGCCTTTATGTCAGTGGCATATCCTTGGATTGCTCATAACATGTAAAATCAACCAGATTTTGTTTATTTTTAAAACCACAGTCTCAGAATTTCATTGAAATTCGCTCTACACTTTATGCTGGTAGACGTAAAGCTGAGAGTAAATTTTTACCTTCTAAGGCTCTCTGACAACACTCTACTGTGACAGTGCAAAATAAGGAGGGTCATTCGGTTTTGAGAATGGTGAAAAAATTAAGAAATCAAGTGTTTGAAGTGAAAATTTGAGGATATAAATATGAAAGGGTACAAAATCTAAAAAAAAAAATGGTTTTTAGGGCCCAAGTTACATAGGATGGAGTTTTATGTCTTTGGAAGTAACCAGAAACTTGTAAATGATCATAGAAACAACCCTTCTACAATATTATGATCAACATGGAAGGCAATGGCTTGATTTTAAATTCCTTTAAAGAGATTTTCACCTCAAGTTCGAAACTTCATCACTGTGAAATAAAAATATTTGAATGTTCGGTTATTTCAGTTGTTTGTTATCATAAATTTTATATTCAATTTATTATTTCTTAGGCAGGTATGGGAAAGAATCTCTTTGGGAGCCCCCGAAGTGATGCCAATTCACACCTTTTCTGCACCATTGCCTGAAGTTTTAAGTTTGGTTTTCCCAACTCGTCTCATTTTTTCTTCTCTGTCAATTTTGATCATAATCCTAACAATAATTTTTGCCGTAAGTGTTATGAAAAATTTTGAAATCTGCTCAAAGTAGACCACTCATGGACGAAAGCCGCCTTTTTGCGGTGGTTAGGTTAGGTGGTTTAGGTGGTTGGACTGAAGCTCAAGATACTGTTTAAAAAACAATGTCAGAATTGCATCTTCTCCTAAATTTAGCCAGCCCCTTTTAGTAGTCTCTTAACCAGGTTCAATGGGTAACTTAACCATATGAGTATTGCAACACAACAATGGATATCTTTTATGAGAAAGGAAGTCACTAACTTTACTCTGCAACAGACATTGCATTAGAGGGATTGCTTCATGTGCTTATTTTTTTGTTTTCAGAGCCCAAACTTGGACTTAATAATTCAAAGAGCTCGGGAACGGAGCAGGGCAAGCGTATCCCAATCGACTATGCTGCGAGGTCGCAGTCGGACACCACATCCACCGAAGTCAGTATATAAAGAGGTCATACTCTTGCCAACAGCATCAAGAAGACACACGCTATTTCCTCATGAAAAATCATTTTTTAAAGGTCGGAAGTTACTCTACCCAGCAGTCGCTTTCTCGAGGGACATGTCAGCAGAAAGTGTCAGAACCAGGATCCTTGACACATTTCATGACCACAGCGTTGGAATGAACTTCCTTGTGTTGGAGCCAATGCAAAGAAATCTAGCGGAAGTGCCATTGCCTCCTGGCACTTCTTTGAATGGTCAATGCCTACTGCATATCTGGAGGCAAAAAAGCATCTATATTGCTCCAGAGAGTAATTTACCAGAGCACTATTTCCCAGAGTACCGGGAAGGCTGTGGGCTGTTGGATGACTCAGATGATGATGATGAGGAAACCCCGTTACTAGAGGCAAGGGTATCAGATTCTGAAAGCCTTCTGATGGAGGGGTCTGTGGCAATGGCAGTTCATGAAGACGCTGCATCAAGTGTTTCACCTCCACTGGTCGACCAAGTGTTTCCTGGGCCAAGTTCTCCAGTTCTGGATGATCCACAGCCAGGTCCATCCCAACTGGACACAAGTCAGAACCTGCAAGCCCTCCTGAGGCAACAGCAGCAACTGATCATGGGCACAAGGCCTCTCGGCAAAATTAAAATTCTTGCCAGGAGAAATCATGTGTTCAGCTCTGCCATGTCTTATCTGGCAACAGAGTCCGATTTCAGGAAACCCCTGAATGTAATGTTTATCGATTCGAGAGGCCGGCCTGAGGCAGGAACGGATGCGGGGGGCCTGACGCGGGAGTTTTTCACTCTTGCCTTTGGTGAGATTCACCGTTCATCCATGCTAGTAGGCCCTGACTCTCTGAAAGACATCATTTATGATGAGCTTTCTTTGCAGGAACGGGCCTACTACATGATGGGATTGCTCATTGCCTTGGCATTTGCCCATGGTGCGTCAGGCCCCCGGTTCTTTTCACCATTCATGTACCAGTGTCTACAGCGAGGCGTAAGTCAAGTGGAGCCTTCCCTGCAGCAAGTTCATGATCCGGATGTGAGGGGTCACCTAGAGACATTGGCTAATTGTCAAGTGCCTGAGGAGTTTGAAGTCCTAAAAAGATCCAACCATTTCACAGAGTGCTGGGATGAGACAACTATTCAGCATGCCACTTTAAATGAAAGAGATACCCTGTACACAGGTAAGTTTTCTCTTAATTCTAGCCTTATAACCTTTTATTTGCAAAAAAAATGAAATACAAGTAGGAAAACGTACAGCCCCCCCCCCCTTTACATTTGAATTACTAAAAAATTTCTATCTTAAATCTTTTAAGTGGAACTACCACAACCAGTACCTTAGTATTTTTTATAGGCTTTATCATATAGATAGTCTTATGATGGATAACTTTTTGGATCTTCTGACAAGCTATTTTGATTTATTCGTAGCCCCATACTCAGTAATGGAATACCATTGGAAGGTTATTACTGCAAATTTAGATGTTCGGAATAGGATGCTCGAAGTTATGGGTGCATCAGGATGAACTAGTGCTTTGGCTACTAGAAAAATCAAAGTCTATAGAAATTTGTAACCCAAACGACGTTTCTTCATTACATAGTGTTCTCTTGCAGCATGATCTGAATGCCTTTTTTGAAATGGTAGAATGCATTATAAATGAATTAGTTTTATCTATAAGGGACCAGGATCCCTCAAAAGCAAGAAGCCTGAACTTAGTTTCCTTTTTTATGTTACCTATTCTGCATTCAGCAGCATCTTAACTTGTATCATAAGATTCATTCGTCAAAGTTTTATTGCTTAAGTCAGTTCTTTTTTGCTATAAAATTTAAAAATTTCCGAGCTTCTTTAGGAATGATTAATTCAAGTTAAGAAAGGAGGAATCCAAAACTCTCATTATTACAGCAGTACAAATGCAGCAAAAATTAAACAACCCATCTACTGTGGACTTCTCAGCAGAAAACAGATCTAATCAAAGTTCATTTGAAGATGATCTGTTCTTTACTGATAAGATCATTACAGATAAGCTGGCTTAAGTGCAACCATAGCTTGTTTCAGATTCCTTTTCCTCTCTTGCTGTATGCACGGGATGGGGAATAACATATAACTAAAAAGGAAAAGTAATCTAAAATGGGATCCATCCAACCATGAATGAATGAAGAGAGAGTAATTAATGTTTAACATTATTCTCTGTTTTTGTTTCCAGAGGCTCTACTTCACCACACATCGAATGTCCGCTCAGCAGTCGTGTATGAGCAATTCCTAGAGGGGCTGGACAGCTTGGGGACCAAGGCTTTGGTACTTGCCAATGAGAGTCTTTTTGAGCAGGAGTTTGTGAGGAAGGTGGAGGCCCTCACTGTTGAAAAATTCATTCAACTTTTTGATATAAACCTAAGCGAGGAGGGCTCAAACTCCTACGCAAAGGAAATTGATGTTCTTGAGTTATTTTACCGGTTCCTGGAAGCAGTTGAGTGTAAGTGTTACCATAATGAATCTATATACAATTGCATGCACAAGGCAGACAAAATTTCAGAAATTTCATATTGAATTTAATGAAAATTAGGACTAACCATTAAAAGTTGTGGAAAAATTGGTTTTAAAGCATCCAAGGTTGTACAGAAACGGTAATGATTTTGTAAGGGTGGTTCGGAAGTAGTGAAAAAGTGCTGAAACTCCGCGAGAAAGTCGGAAATGTCCTCCTTCATACATCGCGTGTTTCTTTCATATAGCCTAGAATGTATGCAATCCCATGCGCATTGATTTTTAGGGTAAAATTTGCCTAGCACATCGCAATTGTGCAGTCACTTAATCTTCAAGCCTCCAATGAAATTTTTCCATGTCATTCGAAATTTTTCGAATATTGTCAAATGGAAGCACTGGAAAAGTACTGAATTTTCCTGTCAAGGTGGTACTGAATTGCTTAGGAATGTGTTGAAAGAGTACTGTAAAAGTGGTTATTTTTGGTCAGCCTGTTGTAGTAGACAACTTGTTGTATGGTATTTTGGTTTTCAACTTCCTGTAAGAAATCTTATTGCCGGCTGTACAGAAAAATCGGAAATCACTTTTGGAATGAAGGTCAAAAGGAGAACGAAAAATCTCAGGAATAATTAGTTTTCTCCTGGAGAAGTTTTGTTTTTTTTCCCAATTGCATACTCAGCCTCTAAGCATTTGGTTTAAATGAAAATACTAAATTTCACTTATTGTGGAATTCGTTAGGCTAATTTAAAATTTCGCAACATGAAATGTCACTTTCTATCTTTTCTCACATTGCAACCATGTGGTGCTACCGTATACATATACTTACTCATCTATGGCCATTATCATACAGCTTTTAGTGGTCTTAGAAATGGGCCACCCACAGGGATCAGATCCAGAACTCCAGATTTGGCAGGAAACTGGCTTTCTCACTACAAGATTGTCCAAGAGGATAAATTTTCAAAATAATTAAGGGAGGTGGTTCTCTTATTGTACAAGTATTTTTCATGTTCAGTCAGAAGGTGGGGGAAGAGATAAAACTCTAATTTGAAAAGGTCTTTGGTGAAATTAAAATTTCAAAAACTAAAAAATGGCCGAAAATTAACTCACTTGCACTATACATAGAACTTGGGACGCATTTCGACAACTTTGGCATCATCCTCAGCCACTACTGAAGATATTGCGATTTCCCAGCTCTGCCGCTTTCCTCGGATGTTAAGTGTTGTCATGTTCATTGTAAAGTTCCTTAAGCAACCTAAAGAGGTCAAAAACTTATGTGAATTGGACGTTTGAGGGATTATTTTCTTTCATCTGAAGAAAGAGAGCAACTTTAACTTTGATGTGTCGGGCGCTTCAAATATTCTCTTCAATTTTATTGGAAACATGACAACACTTAACAACCAAGGAAAGTGGCAGCGCATGGCAATTGGAATTTCTTGAGTTGCGGCGGAGGATGACGCCAAAGGTATCAAAACGCTTCCCAAGTTGTATGTATAGTGCAAATTAGTTAATTTATGTCCCTTTTTTTGGTTTCTGAAATTTTAATGCTTGACTTGCGCAGCACCATTTATGTGTACTAAAATACTGTGATGAAATTCTTGAAAAAAAGCCTAGTTATTGGCTGTTTTGATGCTTTCCTTTCTAACCTAGCAATGTTGATCTAAAGTTTCGTTCAATCTTCTTTCTTTTGTTTTTTCCGAAAATTATGAACTGCACCAATGTAGTTTGTAAGCAAAGCACATAATTTTTGTTTGAATTTTTCTGCAACGGTAACAGAATCTTTGTTTTTGCAGCCAAACAGGTGACTGCAAGGAAGCCCCAAATATTCCCTGGAGACGAGGAAGAGGAGGTGGTAGTTTTAAGTTTGGAGGATATTCTGCAAGCCGCCACCGGAGCAAGGGCCGTCCCTCCTCAGGGCTTCAGCTTTGGGCAGCCCATTATCCGATTTTTGCACACTGAAGCCGAAAATCCGCTGCCGAAATTCAGTGCGTGCACTGGGGTTATTTGGCTGCCCACAAAGTTTACTTCGTTAATTTACCACTATCCTGCCTTTCAGAGTAACTTGACAGAAGGAGTGGTAAATGGCCTATTTGAATTTGGCAGGGTCTAATATTGACCATATTAACCATGAAGCCGGTTATTATTCTAGCTTCTTTCTCTGTTATCACCATTATCAGGTCTTTAATTTCCAAGGGTTTACACTGCTTTTGTTTCGAGTACTTGTGTGATGATCCACCTCTAGGTTCGACCTTCGTTTTATAGTTTCGTAGGTATCATAGTTCAGATCTGTACCATACAAGCCATCATCATTCTCATCTCTTTATTTTTAATCATTGTCTTGTAAATTTTTAAGTTTCTTAACCTGTCTGACATTCAACAGTGCTTTCGTGCGATGCCAAGTTTGGGCACATCAAGTTGGCAGTAGAAATCAAAATTATTAACTCACTAGTTTGAAGTTTCATGTTTTTATGTGTTAAAGGTTGCATTGCATAACCTGTTTTTTTTTTAAAATAATGTTTGAAAAATCTGTGAGGTCAACTTTTAATGTATTACTTATCATTTAAAAAACTTGTCAATGCCTATGCCTAATTGAGAGGAATGCACACCTCAATTTCACCGTTTAAAAATCTCTGATTCGTTTTAAATCAGATTTGTTCATGTAGGAAGAAATTGCTTTAAGCAAGTCTGGCATAAATTTTTGGATTGAAACGTAAGCCAAGAATGGTTTTATTTTGACCAAACATTTTTTACAGCGGTTACTTCTCCTATTTTAATCAGTCAAAACGTGACACTCAATGTTTTTTAACGGACTTTTTTTTAATTTCGGAAGGTAATTTTCTTTTTGATAAAAGCGTAAAAAGCGAATTTGATCTGGAGTCAGTAAGAACGTTTGATTTTGATTTAGCATCAAGTAAAATTAAACTTTGAAAGCAAAAATGAAAGCTCTAAACGTGCTTAACGAAAGAATAACCGTCCATTTGTTAATGTAGAGTAATTAGCATTTTCATAAAACCTGTAGTTACCAGTCTTGGGTCCTCGACTTTGCATTGAACTATTCAGGGGTAAAAAATTTAGAATAATTTTAAATCTGTTTTAAAAGTAAAAAACATATTATTTTGTGCAGCAACTTTTGACTATAAATAATTTTTGTAATAAGTTTAAGAGGTTTAATTTTTTTCAATTGTATACAGCTTCCTAATTTTTTCACTGAAGACGCTAGGATTCATTGAAGAAATATTTGAGTGTTAGAAAATAAAAAGAAAAATCTGATGTATTTTCATTGGTATGAAGAGATTTATTTTATTATTGAATTGAATTATGAATGTAAGACATTTCAAGGTGTGAAAGATTTCAGATTAGCTGTGATCTTTGTAAATAGTAAGCTTCAATGGTGAAGATTGAGTTTGTTACTTAATTTTGCGTTCTTGTAGTTTTGAATGAGTGACAACGGACTATCAGAGAAGATGCGAATTTAGGCTTTCTGATACATCTTTCCTAACCTAAAGTTTCTTTATAACACGATTTGTACAACGAAAATTACTGAAAGCAACTCTAAAGTAAGATTTTAACATCTTTAGTTTACATTGATGGCAGAAAATTTTAACTCTTTGCTTAATTAAATCGCGCAATACAAAGGGTTTGGAAATTAGCCTCTTGATCCAGCAATGTTCCTTCCCTTTCTTGCGTTGACCTAAGTGATAAAAGCGTGGAACAGCTTAGGTAAGGCACTGAGATTGAGGCTGTCATATTTTCATACGGCATATTTGGCATTTTATGGTTATATGGTAATTTTTAGTGTGCGATTTGACTAATGTATACTCCTGCTATTTCATAAGCATGAGGTTCGCCTTTGGGCATCAAAAAACGTTAAATATCCTAGGAGTTAATTTCAGTAATTGTAGTCGTGCGAATCGTGTTCTATGTGAAACTTAATTTTCAAATTTTGTAGTTCAGAAAATGTATGCGAGACATGTTGCAAGATTCTATACTACACGTACCTGTAAAATATTTTCAAGCATTTGAACGGTATTTTACAGTTCATTTTCTCCCTTCATGAAGCTACTCAGATTGAAGCAAAATTGCCTTTCAAGAAATACCTTTTCTTCGAATTTTTAAAAATATAATCAGTCTTTCATAGGAACCGCGTATCAGCATCAATAAGGTTGCTACAACATTCAACATGAACGCAAGTAGGCCAGAATGTTGAAGCCTTTCATTACCCACTACTATCAACTGTTTTGAATATTTTTGGGGGCATTGTATATAATATCGTTTATCGTATAAACTTATATATTTTATTTTGTTTTACATCATATGAAATGATTTCTGTCAGAGGTGTCATTTTGATCAATTAGGCTAATTTTAGAACCCTCTAAAAATTATGTACTTATGTATCGTTTTTAACAGTATTTTAAATGTTCCAAGTTCTGAAACTTGCTCATCTTGCAGGACAATACTGAAAATTCTTTGAACGCAAAAGAGAGGTGCTGAATTGTTTCAGCGAGTGATTCGCGAGAAAGAGTCATTCTTATTCCGTAGGGCACAGCTTGCCACAGCGAGATAGCTTAAGCTCTGATGGTATGCAGTTAGAGGGGTAATCTCATTTGAAAGAAGACTTTAGAAAATTTCCAAATCAACATTAAAATTAACGCCGAATGGCCCAAAAAAGATCAAATTTGTAACATTTAAGTCTTAATCCCCAACTTAGCCCTTGAATCAAGCATTACACAGCAATTTTTTGTAGCTCTGTGGTTAGTAAGTACCTAATGTTTTTATAATATTCTGGCATTTATCTTTTTGGTGTTAAAAACTTTTGGATACAGAAAGGGGATAATTGGATTTAAGTTTAGGAATGTTACCTATGGTTTTGTCGATCAATCAGTACCTTTGGAGCTATAATTGAATCACTGCAGAATTGTTACGATTGAATTCTGTCTAATTTTACATCAAAATTCTTTTTGCCAGGTTTTGTGCTAAGTCAACGATCTGATTTAACCCCTATCCTTACGAGTAGAAATCCCCGACATACAGTCTCCTGACTGATTCTTAATGTTACATTAAAATGTGCTTCTTTTTCAAAGCCAATTTACATTGGTTTCTGCACTCATGATTTTGAATGTTCTGTGGCTTATCGTCAGTATAAAAAAAATCTGCGTAGAGTCATCGGAAATGATCAGTCAAAGTTGCCAGGTTACTCAATTGAATGTGAATATTTTTCATGGCTTTGAAAGCGGGAGTTTCAAAAATGGTTGTGCTAACTTTTAATGACTATTTTTAAGAATCTCACTTTTTCAAGAGAGCAAATGAAGATTCTCCGTCCAATCATATTTTGTTTCTTTTCCCTCTCATGTGTAAAATGCTATGAATAAGTACCTAGTATGATTAAACGTAGTGTAACTTTTAACTGGTTATTGTTATTTTTTACTCCTCCAGCTAAATATGATTGCCTGTATTTGTTTCCTGATCTCACCAATTTGATTTAAAACGAAACCTTCCAACTTTCTCTACAGAGCAATACGGTTGTAAAATTTCGAACTATGTACGGAGATGATTTAACCACTGATTGGGGTTCAAACACTTGAAGTATATATGGGAGACAAATACTTTGGGCCTTTGGTTTGTGTCAAAGTATGGAGATTTTTCCTATGTATTATTGAGCTTTTCAATTAAAGGACTTCATCTTAGTGAGTATGCACTGTATTCCAGCAGACATAATGGACAACTAGACAAGGTACGAATTTAACTAATCTGATACATGTTTCTTAACCAGAATTTCACGTAGAACACGATTCACACAACGAAAAATACTGAAACCAACTCCTAACGAAGATATTCACGTTTTTATTTCACATTGGTTACGAGGAATTTGAACTGCCCGCTCACAAGAAACTCAAAGCTCTACGTGAGTCAAATCGCGCACTACAACGGTTTCAGCAAGCTTCTCAACCGAGCAATGTTCATTTCCCGTCATGTATTTTTCAAACTATAAGCAATTTGCTCTAGCTGAGCCAAAGTGTCAAGATTGAGGTTGCCAGATTTCTATATTGCAGAGACTGTCATGATAACATTTAGCGCGCAATGTGAATCACGTAGAGCATTGAGTTTTTATGAGCGGGTGGTGTGAATTCACGCATCAAGAATCATTAAATGTCTTCGTTGAGAGTTAATTCCGGTAATTTTTGTTGTGCGCATCGTGTTCTACGTGAAATTTTAGTTACGAGACATGTATCAGAATGCTGAAATTCGTACCTTGTCTAGTGGTCCATT